AAGGTCGGGTTTTCAAGGAGGGGGGGAGGGGGCAGGGGGGAGGGGGGAGGGGGCAAGGGGGAGGGGGCAGGGGGGGAGGGGGCAGGGAGCAGGGGGCAGGAGGGGGATAACTGCCGGGTCTGTGGAGCCTGGGGGGGTAGCGCTGCTCCCGACCCTCCCGCGTGGCAGTGGGGCCGTCAGAGGGGGTGGGGGGCTGTTTGTTGTCAGGTCAGCTGGAAAGGGGCCCGGGGATGCGGGGCGCAACGGCGGATGGAAGGCTTTAAGGCAGATGGTCCAGAAAGAATCCGCGACCGTCACATCCGCCACTACGATCCATCTTCCTTCCCAAGTACACGGGTGTTTAGGGTTTCCCAAAGCAGTTTCTCCTCCCGCCCACATCGCCTTCAATACACATGTACACGCACATATAGCATATCCTACTTCCCACCTCCATCCATCCACCATCCATCCATCAGCTCGGCCCCGACCGGGCCCGTCCTGAGAAGCATTGGGCTTCTGGTCGGGGTGAAGGCGTCTGGTTAAACACCTCCGCCAGCTGCACGGGGGGGATCCTATAGTGCTTTTCCATTTTATTTCCATTTTATAGTTTTTTTCCTCCATGTTCGATTACTCTCGATATTCTGCCTCCGCCTATCCGGAGGTGTTTTTAGTTTTTTTTTGTTTTGTCTTCCCTTGCGTGTCGTAGGCTCCTCCGCGCACGGCAAGAAGGCCACTAAGAAGAAGGGCCTGGGGCTGACGGCCGAGCAAACGGCGGCTCTGGGGCGTCTGCTTGTGAGTGCCGCCGCTGCCGCCGCGGTGGTGGTGGTGGTGGTGGTGGCCCGGGGGGCGTCAGCGCTGTGCTGGTGTGGTGTGGTGTGGTTGGGAGGTAGACACGGGGCGACTGGGATCACCTGTTTTGCCTTCCACCACCACCCCAACCTCCGAAACCAGCCCTGTGTCTGCGGGAGCGATGTTTTATACGGGATAGTTATTAGAGATAACAGCCGGGTTGGGGAGGGCGGAGAGGCGGAGGGGGTTTTCCCCGTACTCCGCCGCCAACTGGTTTCCCAAGTAAAGCCTGTTGTCAATTGCAGCTGTCCACGTGTATTGGCGCGTTCTGCTCCCTGGCAGCCTGCTCCGGGTTGGGTGTATCCCTCCCCCGCCCGTTAGCCTCGCCTCCTGCAACAGCTGCAACACCAGATCCCTCTCCTTACTTCCTTTCGCACTACCTTTTTTTCTTTCTCTAACACCTTATTGATGTCTTTTGCGTTGCCAAAGTGCGTTGCTAAACCCCTAAATTCTTTTGTTCCTCCCCCTCTCCTCCTTCCTTTCTTTCCCCCCGCCAGGGTTTGCTCAAGTTCCTTTCACTGCACAACACAACGCGGTGAGCCCACTAGGGGAAGAGGGAGGGGGCCAGAAGGGGGGAACAACCGACTACAGCCGTACCGAACAAATAACCGATCAACCGAATCGTGAGAGTAACGCCAGGCTGTTACGATCCGGCGTGCAGGTACCGCATCGCAAACTTGGGTGCCGTACCCCAACTTGTGCGGCTGTACGGCGAGGCTAATGACTACCTGCTCCGGAACCACTGTCAGGCCATCCTGGCCAACGTTGCGCTGCTAGCTGAGAACGGCGTCGCGCTGAGGGACGCCAAGATGCCGGAGGAGGTGAGGAGCTCTTGAGGGCTGAGAGTGTGTGTTTGTGTGTGTGTGTGTTTGTGTGCTTAGGGGCGTGCGAGGCCGTCCTCGATTTCCTCGATGGAACAACGGCTAATATAGAGAATTTATGCAAGAGATTCATTGCAAATTTATCCCTCAGAGAAGAAACCCGATTTGAATTCGAAATCAATAGAAAACTGTGTTTCTGGAAGTTGAGGAGGATCATACTTTTTTAGGAATTGCAATACCCCCCACCAGGAGCACGAGAATGCGGGTGGTGGTGGTGGTGGTGGTTCACACTTGCATTGGCTGGAAGGGCGCTGAGCGGGTTTGTGAACACCCCGGCCGCCTCGCCCCCTTCGTTGCCTTTCCCATGTAGTCGTACCCGCATTCGCCTGACCACGACTTTCTTCCAGCTGCACCTCCTTCCCTTCCCTTCCCTTCCCTTCCCTTCCCTTGCTCCACATTGATCAAAATCGTTTTAAAAACGCGACGTATCGTTATCGCTACGGACGACAACGACAACGGCAACGACAACGACAACAACGACCCGTGTGGTTACAGTTTCTGGTCTCTAACCCCATGAGGCTGACCGCGTACGAACGTGCCGTACTGAGGATTGAATTTCCGGAAGACCCGCAGCTTTTAGCCCGCCGGTAGCAGGTAGCAGTCTGTTCGGGCGCTTGGGGTGTGTGTGTGTGGTAGGAAGAGAGGTGCAGAGAGTGATATACCTGGGTGGCTGCGTGGGTGGGATCGTGGGATCGCTGACTGACTGGTTAAGTGTGTCTGTGCCGTCTGTGTGTGCCTGTGCCTGTGACTGCGTGTGACTGTGCCGCCAGTCAAGCTGGCAGCAGAGCACGTCTGTCCACAGCCGAAAAATTGGCCCAGATGTCTTCAGAAAACTGAAAAAAGAAGCGTTGATTTTTGTCCCTTGTCGAAGATTAAGTTTATACGTGATGGATGGCGGACGGCCACTGTACGGCACAACAAGAGCTCAGTACGGCCCACATTTTCAGGGCAATCGTCTTAGTAATCCTGTTGGCGCATTTTAGTGATTTCCTCGCCTTTCCCGGCTTCACTAGATGTTTATTAGGTATTCCCCGGTGTTGTGGGCAACCGATGGGCCTTAGGGTGCTTCAGAGGTAGGGGTAGAACATTGGCATCAGGACAGTTAATGACCGTTGGCTGGATGTGGAGGTATAGTACATCACTTCAAGTTCATATCACTTGCATTCTACAGGCCATCTGGTAGATAGTGCAGGTGGTTCAATCCCACCACAGGCAGGTGTGTTTTTATTAGGTGGGGGGGGGAAGTGCAAGCATCCATCCTCCATGTATTCAACTTCATTCATTCATGATACCAACTCAACACGGAAAACATCATTCCTGAACAGTTTTCCCTGTTTTTTGGACTTGTCAGCCTGGGTGGATGTTGGGCTTGGCGCACACTTCACCTCGTAGACTGACTCTTTTGAACAGAGGGCTACGTGACACAGCAAGGCGAGCTACTATGATGGCTATGGGCCGCGCGCGCGTGTGTGTGTGTGTGTGTGTGTGTGCGCGCGCGCACAGCGGAAATTAGCTTTGCAAATGAAGCATGCGTCTGTTTCCGACTCGTTTGCTCTGTAAACCCAAGACTGATAATTCCAGGGAGTTTCCGGTCCCGAAGGACACCGGGTTAGCGGTGTTAGCGGTTTGCGTGAGGCGGCCGCGGCGTGTGGTGGCGAGGGACCCGGAGCTGCGCGCACTGAAGGCGGTGAAACTGTCATGGAGAGATGGATGCGCCGCTGCTGCTGCTGCTGCTGCTACGGGCAATACGTGTATTGACGTGGGATGCGAGCTGCAGTACACCTGTACGGCCCCATAGTAGTCCCCGAGGCCCCTGCCCACCTCCTAGGCCCCAAGGAAATGGTCAGCGCAACACGAACAACACAGGAAAACCACCAGATAGATGAGATTGAGATGAAACGTAATGAGGATGCCTCGGTGCGGATGCCTAGAATGCAGTTGCACGGTAAACGTACCTTTAAACCCGTCCATGTAAGTGTTTTCGGTGGCAATACCAAACCCCCATGCAGTTCCCTCTAATTTTGGCGATTGGAGACGTCGGTCTGACCGCTGTCTAGCAACATGTGTTCCTTCCCAACGGTCCCGTAAGGGGGGCCGCACGCAGGATCAATTTAGCATCTAGGACAATCTGAAATAAACGATTCTCGTGTAATCTCCTTCCGTGTTATATGAATTTGCAACAGTTGGCTTCCCAGCTTCATCACATCAAAATGCCCCATAGTGTTACGGACATCTATCTGCATTCGCAGGGAAACCGACTGCCCTCCTTAGCGGTTCATAGGCAGGGTGTTCCATCAGCACGTGTATGTAGCTCGTCTTCTTCCCCCTGGGGCCCGCCGCAAGCCTGACATGTTCGTTCCTCTCGTGGCTTATGGCCCATCAACTCTTCGACATCACGAATTGCATGCCCCCGACATAATGCCGGTATCACCCCTTGGGACCAACAGGAGTATGTGACCATCGCAGAAGAGTCTTAACCATGAGGTCTAGGCCTATGCACGATGTAAGGCCCGGCTTCTGGCCAGAATTGGGGCGCAATGAGCAGGTTGAAGCATACATGCAACTAAAGCAATACTTTTTTAATGATATCGCCCGTAATCAAAAGGGACATCCACTCAGTTAGTGGAACCAGGAGTCCACTTCAGCAGTGGACACAGTACGGCACCCTAAGGTGCAAATCCTAATCGAATGCCTTTGGCTGCAAATTGATGCTTGAAATGCAGATCCGTGACATTTCTCGTGTCTTTCATTAACCATATACGACCTAGTGTTAGAAGAACGGCGCCGCTGTTTCCTGTCGCAACTAACTTCCGTACGTCCACGGCCATTTCTTTGCAGCCGATGCGGTCATTTAATTCCTTTATGCGTTGTGCCGTGAGCCTGCGCTCACCCACCGTGGCATCGAGCTCCTGTCGCAACGCAGCGTTCCGCTCCTGAAGGCTTTTAACAACCTCTGCCTGCTCTTCAACTAGGCTTCTCAGGTCGTTGATGCGATGCTTCATGTCATCGCTATTCTGCTGGCATTTGTCAACATGCCCTGCCAATAGACTCTGGAATTCTGCTTTGATAGTTGATATGCATCCATCCAGGAATGGCCTGCAGCTTTGAGCAATTTGCTCCTCTAAATGCTTAGCTCCTGGTGTTTTCCTGCCAGGTGTTGAGATGTTGACCGTGGCTGGGCGTCTCTTGACACCATTTATCCTTCCTTTCAGTTAAATCGAATAGAACTCTAGTTACTGGACGCGATAGTTTCGCGTTCTATTCGATTTAACTGAAAGGAAAGATCGTACTGTGCGTCGCAAGATAATTGGAGTCAAGAGACGCCCAGCTACGGTCAACATTTCAACACCTGGCAGAATAACACCAGCAGCTAAGCATTTGGAAGAGCACATCGCCCAAAGCTGCAGGCCATTCCTAGATGGATGCATATCAACTATAAAAGCAGAGTTTCAGAGTCTATTGGCAGAACATGACAGATGCCAGCAGAATAGCGACACATGAAGCACCGCACCAACGACCTGAGAAGTCTAGTTGAAGAGCACGCATCAGTTGTTGCAAGCCTTCAGGAGCGGAACGCTGCGTTGCGATAGGAGCTCGATGCCACGGTGGGTGAGCGCAGGCTCGCGGCACAACGCATAAAAGAATTAAATGAGCGCATCGAAGCCCTCGAGACCGAGCGAAGCTCGTCGAGAGGTGAGCCAATCGTAACGCGAAGCCAATCGGCGGACGCAAAGGCCCTTGATAGGCGGATGGAGGCCCTGGAAAGGCGACTGGCCGAGCACGCCGCAAGCGGGCCAAGGGAACAAGCGGTGGGCTGCAGAGAAATGGCCGTGAACGTACGGAAGTTAGTTGCGACAGGAAACAGCGGCGCCGTTCTTCTAACACTAGGTCGTATATGGTTCATGAAAGACGCGAGAAATGTCACGGATCTGCATTTCAAGCATCAATTTGCAGCCAAAGGCATTTGTCTAGAATTTACTGGGAGCGCACGCGCACAGCCCCGGCAGATGGTGCACGATTTGCCGGAGCCAAGGGGGGGCGTCGCATTGGCCTCAGAGCAGTGCAGCCCGCAAAGCAAGACCAACAAGATCCCCGGAAAAAACCTGAAAGGAGCAGCAAGAACTGCCGAAGCAGCAGCAGCCAAAACGGCAACCATGACCTAACAGAGCCGTCGCTGACACCACCACCTCCAAAGCCCCAAAGCTGCCGGCGATCACTACCAGACCACATGAGGTGGCCGCAAGCCGCAGAGGGCTTGACATGACAGCAGGCGCCCCGGCTCCCAGAACCCCCCAAGCGCTGGCCGAGACTACCAGCAGCACCGATGGACATATAGACCGGGGTGCACTGGTCATCGACGGACTACCAGCTACTTGGACGCACGAGGAAGTGATCCAGAAACTGCAACTGCGCTTGCAGCAGCTTACGAGCAGTTAAAAATGTGAAATTGGAATGCGGCTTACGGTGTATGTCCATACCGTCCAGGGTATTTCGACCAATGTACGAAACACGATCGCTATCTGCAGTGTGCCGTTCGTCCGGGCAGTCTGGTTCAGTCTTTTCTGTCGTCGCGGTTAAAGACGCATCCACCTCGCAACTTGCCCAGAACTGTTGAACTTGAATTGCTTGTTGAATCAGCTCCAGAACCAGCTGGATTGGTGTTAGTGGCACCATTGAGATCAAATTCAAAATGTTTGCAGCTAGAGCTTGCTGTCGCGCCCTGCTCCAAAGGCCTCGAGTAACATCGACTGCCTAAGTACTTGCACGACGTGTGGCGCCCGTGTGGCAGATTGATTTTATCACATTCCAGGAAAACAAGGAACAAGTGGTAGAAAGTTATTAGGTATTGCCGGCCTTTGGGAGCACGTGTGCTCGCTGCAAACGCAGGCCGGTAGACGTGCACAGAAATCCGAGATCACAGCGGTCGCAATTCTACCAATGGCGGTCGGGTTAAGAGAGGAAGTCAAACCCTCCTCGATGTTCATATGTGATATTGTGACCCTAAATCCAGCGCACTTACGGCCGACAGGCACAGACACCCCACACTTGAGTATGGATAAGTCAACGGTGGGATGCATCTGGCCTGGGCCGCGACAAAGCCATGCTTTCTGTAAGCGGGAGTGCTGCCACCAACTGTTTGTGCATCAATTACTCGTTTTAATCCGCCAGGAGGAGATCTTGCTGACAGAAAAAGCTTTGTGAGATTGCAGTTTATGAAAAGAGACCACCATATGCATCCCATATGACTGTTCCGTCCGAAGAAGCGTCCAGTCACTTCCGACGTGGGCGGCGCCCAAGGGGCGGCACCTCGTGTTCGTCCGTTTCGGGAAAATACAGAAAAAGTCGATTCACACTTGGCCGTTGCAAACTTACAATTCCTGACCCCGTACAGTTTTCATTGGAATGACATTTCCTGACCCTCCACTTCTACTATTTTAGTTCGAACCTCCCGGAGGCTCGTCCGACAACGATCTCTGCTCACGTTTCTTTTGCTTTTCCCCGTCCTACCACTCTCTGCCTTAACTCCGTCTTGATTTCCGCCAGCCATGTCTTTCGCAGCAACTCTGCGTGCCCCCGCTGCATCCAACCTCGTTCCCTCGCGGAACGGCCAGTCCAGCCGCATCGCCGTGCCGCTTGCTCGCCGGCGGGTCACTGTCCATTATACCAGCCAGCAAGGCCGCATGGTGAGATGCAAATGGATGGATCATGTGAGATTTTGCTAGGCTGCGGAAATAGTCACACGCGCTCATTACTCCGCTTTGAAATATGAGCCACAAGCCATTTTCGCGTTTTTCGCGCTTCAATCAGTCTTCTTTTATTTTCTATATTTTGTCCGATTAAAACAAATGTGACCTTGATAACCTCGAGCCCCGAGATCGCGGCGGCATACCGCGATTTTCAGGCGAGGGACTGTTAACAGAAAAGACCGAACGAGTCTGCTGGAAAAGCATTACGCAGGGGTGGGTGGCACTGGATGTGCTTCGCTTCGCGACCTTTCAATGCCCCTATGTGTGATTTGAGGGAAGCCGCCTTACTGCCGGTGGTTCGACTATAAACTTAAGGAGCTGCGCTTCAAAATCCAAACCCACATCCCCCAATCTGCTCACCTTCGCGTGAGACGCGGCAAGCTTAATACGGAGGCGAAGTTTTAGGGGTTTCGGGTTTTTAAGGATTTTAATTTTGCGAGCGTTGCGACATGCTTACGTTCAGTTGCGTCGTTGGCAGGGCGAGGGCGGTGAGGAGGAGACGTCGCTGCGTGACACCGTCAACAAGTTGACGTCAGAGAAGCAGTACGGCGGTACGTTTCGCGTGGGGGCCACCGGCGGCAGTGGCAGCAGCAGCAGCAGCAGCGGCGGCGGCGGCGGCGGCATCACGCGGGATGTGGATGAGGAGAAGGAGCCTGGTAGGTCGGCAGACTGATGGGCCCCCTCCCAGCACAAGGTTGATGTGAGGGCTTCATGTACCAGCGCTGTATACCGTCATGTATCAATCTCTCTCTGTGTGTGTATGTTGTGTGTGTATGTATGTGTGTGTATGTATGTGTGTGCGCCAACCCAACCACTGCATGTACGACTTCACCAGGATGTGTTTGCCCGCTTTCTAACACACAGTTGACAACATGCAGGCTACATGCGCTTCGTCGTTATGTATGTATGTATGTATCTATGTGTGTGCATTACAGCTCGGTTGCGATACGCTGAGAGGTGTAGCGAGTGCCCATACACGAGTCAGCAGAGGCCCAAGAGCCTCCTAGGAGGTTTAGGGGAATTTTTTTGTAGTGCAACGCAAAATCCTAATAGCCAAGCAGTAACACAGGGGGGAAACAAGGAGGACACTAGTCAGCTGTGACCGCCTGCGTGGAGACGAGCGGGTAAGCCACATGCTATGCACCAAGTGGGCCAATTTTGTTTGCTCGCTGTCCCCACCACAATCGACCTCTTATCGGATTACTCGTGGCTAAGAGTTACGTCCGAGTACTCACGACTTGCAGCATAATTATAAGCTTGGCACTCCACTCTAGAAACATCGTCTGACGCCTCACCTTCCACCTTGTGTGGCAGCGTGCGCAACTCGCAGATCCCCTGCTCAAATATGTATGTTTGTATGTCTTGACGTCCAGGGTACCACCATGAGTCGCGCAAGGACTTGGAAAAGCGCGGCGCTGTAGTGCACGAGGAAGTCGGCGGTCGTCAAGGTACGGTGACGCCGTTACGAGGTTGCTCCTGAAAACATACGATGCCTTTACTTAACGCAATAATGCAAGGTTGGATGATTCGCGCAGTTCGATGCACCTTGACGTCGGTCCGCAACGGGCCCGTAAATTTAAAGATGGTTGCCTGCCCGTTCATATACTTTAGTCGTCAGTAACTACAATTGTTATAATCTGTATTGAATTTATCCCTGAACACCAAAAATCTCCTGGATGGCACTCGCGAAGAGTTTTAAGCGTATGCAGTCTCCTGGACGAGTTGCGGGCGGGTTCTGTCGGCGGCGGTCACCCTCCCCTCTTCCTGCGTGCAAAGTCTGCACCACACCAACTTTACTCGTGCAGCGCGCCAGAGAGTTGAGAGCGACTAATTTCCTTGGCTGATTGTCTTCGGGAAAGAAGAGGGCTTCTGCTTCCGGAGCATCCACAGGCTTTACCTGCCGCCAAGCTTTAAGTGCCGAAGACAATAAATAACTCCCAGCCAAAGCAAAATCCGCCAAGCCGCCAAAGGATGCTCCGCCGCTGCCCCATGTTCACGACATGTCCTCCCTCTGCACACGCACATGCACGCACAAACGTTGGCCTTGCTTGCGTTTTTCTTACGCTGCCTGGCAATGTCCCTTCCTCAACATCGGGGCTATTCCCGGCCTCACCCTCTCCCGCAGGCCATCATCCCAGCCCCGCCTCTGCTCCGGAAAGTGGCACTGAGTGCCGTACGGCGGGCTCAGGCGCCGGGACCGAATCCGCCCGCACGGCCTCGACCGGCGGCCGCGGCGGCCGTGGCTCGGAGGACGACATATCGTCCGCTCCGGAAAGTGGTACCGTGCGCGACTGATGAGCTGATGAAGAGCTGTCGGAGACTGTCAGCGGAAGTCTCCCCAAGTACTGAAGCTCTTTTAACAGAGAAAGTTTCAAGAGATAGTGCTCTCGAACAGGGATGTGTGGAGTAGTGTGCGGGCGTAGGATCGGTTGGGGGATGTGCGGCTGGGGCTATGATTGGTTGGTCCTCGCTTTCAAACGACGGGCCGTGTGCTGCAAAGTGCACCACCGAGTGCCGGTAGGTGGCGGTCCTGAACCAATGCCGCAATGGCAATGGCGAGTCATGCCACTAGGTGCTGTTAAGGGGCTGCAGCACAACGGAAGCGGTGGTAGGTATGGTGCTGCACTACCGGCAGCACAACTGACCCGTGGGTCGTTCGCGTCGTGTTTGCTTCCCGATGTTCCTTATATGTTGCTTTTTTGTTGTCACTAGGGGCAGTGAGGGCAAGGAGGCCGACGGGGGATGAAGTTGCCACCAAACGCTTGCGGAGCTTGTTGCTGAACATTATGAACAGCTTTCTGGGCAATCTTGGTTTTGTAGCACTTGCGCGGAAATGGGAGCGGCTTCGGGGGGCAGGTAGTAAAATAAGACGAATTACATAAGGCTCCGTTGTGAAGTTACGATACAGAAGATGCAATAGGACGGGGGCCCAGAGAGCTTAAGGACCGTTCACCTTCAATTCCTCCTACCTGTCTCGGATTCCTCCCTACTCGGCGCACACCCCTCACAAGGAGGCTTGCGAAAAGCGACGTTGGATTGCCCCCAGGCCCTGTAGTAGTCAGCAGAGCGAGGTGTTGCTTGTTTCCATCTTCTTCTTCTTCTTCTTCTTCTTCTACTTCCCAGAGAACGCACAGCGCATTAGTTAAATAAGGGGGTAATGGATTCGAAAGACCGAGGGAGGTGTCATGTTGGGAACTCCCCAAGACCTTCAGCTGCCGCCCAGTGCTCTCTCAGACCGCACACACAGAAGTAAAACATGCAAAGCATAAAGGTCGAGGATTGTAATTCATCATTATAACAAATTCGACGTAACGACAAGACGCGTATGCCTGCGGAAATCATGACGTAAGCAATCTCTTACAAACTACTGAGGTTTGGGCGGAGGACCAGCGCAAGGAGGGTGTATGTTCGGTTCTTATGTGACAGTGTACCAATACTGGTGGCTTTGATGTGGCAGAGCACTTGCTAGGAAGACTTCGCAGCTTGTCCGGTTTCTCCAGGAGTTTCGTCGAAACTTCCTTGCCTTTGGGTTCAAACAAAATCCTAAACCCTAAACCCTAAACCCTAAAACCCTGCAATCCGCAATACAGAGCGTCCAGGGGCTCCCGCCTCTACCCTCCTCCGCAATCGCCCCCGGGAGATGCTTGGGCTTGGATAGCCCAGGCTTCCATGCGTTTGTTTGACTGGATGCACAGACTGCCACAAATGGTAAGAAGACCTCACCATGTTGTAAAAACCAAGTTCTCAACGACCAGGTCAATCATGACGGCGAACTGTAAGCTTGATGCGTGGAACAAGCCGCTCAACTACAACTCTAGCACAACTAGCACAGGAAACCTGGGCTTACGTGGGCTTCCATGCGTTTGTTTGACTAGATGCACAGACTGCTGTAAGGCTGATGGCTGTGCGGGAGCCTTGCACCTAAAACCCAAGGGAACCCAGGTCAGGTCGCCAAAGTCCGCGATATGAGTTTTGTATATGAAAGGCGGACCAGCAGGCGAAACATGGAGACTAGGAAAAGAAACGGGTAGACAAGTAGTCTCTTTATCGCGGGTGAATCAACGATTCGACGTGTGCGGTAAACTACAGTAACACTTGGCGCACGCGGACGCCACAGGCGCTATTAGGAGCCCTGATCCGTAGCCCCACTTAAAACCGGGACAAAAGTGCGCAAAAATAGGCAACGTGGTAACGGCGGGACTGCTGCGAGGAGAGCGTAACGCACATTATACTCAAGTAAGGGTTGCAATTGCGTTTAGTAAATCATCGTCATCATCATGATCGCAGGTGCTGTACATGCCCCGGGTACCGCCAATCAAAGCACTTCGCGGACTGTGAAAACACACGCCGACACCCGCCAGCCGTCTGTCACAACACCAGCCACCTCCTTCGCGCACTGGTAGGACATCAACCACAGTTACACGGCGAATGTGCACGCACGTTTGTGCCGCTTGCTGTACGACTAGGGAACACTCGCGGCGTTGTCAAACTATACAATGTCACGCGACTCACCGGGATACCACTTTATTATACACATACACACACACTATCTTTCTCTCTCTCTCTCCGCCTCTCCATCAGACTAACTACATACACACTGTGTCTGTACACAGAGACACGCGCATACACCATCTGCAACCCCACCATTCCCTTCTCGCGGCCCAAATCATAAAAGCACAAAATATAAAAGCACCCCAGGAACCACCCGGTAGGTAGATCAGATGATATCCAACTCACGTTCCCAACCCCACTTAACTACGATTGTGGCATTACCCCCACTCCCACTCCACAGTTTGGTAAATATGTGGGTGATGCATGCTTTCTTCCCTCCCTACCAATACACAATATTCCTCCTCGCGATTGGCTTCTTAAAGCCGGTGTGCTGTGGCCCTTTCCCCCCTTATACACACGCACAATCACCATATCCAGTCCGCGGAATAACAACACATTTTCTTAATGGCGTTGAACAGCATCAAGCAAGCAATCTAGCAAGCAAATGTATGTATGTATGACTTAGATTACACTGTGGGCCGCGAGAGCCGGGGGCCGAAGCCGAAACACAGCGCAAGGGTCGGGAGCACATAGCACAAGTCGGTTAGTCTCGTGTGCTCCCGACCCCGACTCAGACTCCCAACACACTCCGCAGCCACTCTGCAGCCCCTCCATCCGGGGATGGCGCTGCAGTGAATACACCACGAAGGGCTCTCAGGTCCCGCTAGAGTGAGTCCACAAGTCTCAGCTAGGGCAAAGCCAAAGGCTCTCTGAAACAACCCCCCAAAACACACCCAATGACAAAGGGATTCCAAGGAAAAAAACAAAAAATAAAAAGTCGGTTAGGGCGGCCCAGGCAGGGGAATTCGCTTCCAAATTTGCCGCAGAATGGCCGGAACCTCCTCGGCGAGCTCGAGGGCGCTGTGGAGATGCAGACTGGAAAGGGCGCCCCAAGCGGCGAGACGGTTCCCAAGCAGAGTAAGAACCGTAAGCGTCCAAGAGACAGCACCAGCGACGACTCGCCCACTTTGACGGGCAGTCCGCCCCCACCATCCCACCCGCGCTCTAAGTTAGCTGCCAGAAAGGCACAGCATGCGAGTCCAAGCAGCATCGCGCCGATGGGTCAAAACATGTCTATTTTGCTCCCGTCCCCCAATTGACAGTGCCGCAGGAGGACACGCCCAATACGGTGTCCAGGAAGGAGGCAACACTCAAATTTGCGGAGCTACACGGCTCCCTACAACAACTGGGTGGCTCTGTCTCCGAGCTAATGCGCATGGTCGGGAGCTTACAGCCCCTCAACCAGCCCCCACCGCCTCCCATTCCTGTTCCTCCACCGGCTCAAACCCAGCCGGAAGCTACCGTGGCGCCAACTGTGCCAACTGCACTTGTCAACCTGCCACCGGCCGCCGCCGCCAATGATCAGGCGCCTGCTGGTGTGGCTGCACCGGGCAACACCCAAGCAAATGTAAGTGGGATTGATGGTTCTTCGGGCACAATGTCCATAGGGGTTCTCAAGCAGCCAGCCCCACCGTCGCAAACAGCGACTGCTGCCTCTGTTTTAGCCAAGAGCTTTAGGCAGCCACCCGCATTGAATGGCACCACCAGCTTGCAGGTCACCGAGCCCGATGCCTGGTTCGACACAGTTGTGCAATACTTGCGAGATACGGGTAACAATCCTGTCTAGGGGCTGCGTTATTACTGCACCAGCGATGTCCTTACTTGATACAACTCGTTCTTGCGTAACAACCCCAACCCTGCAATTGAGGCACTTCGCGCAGACTTCACCCAGTTGTTTGGTGACGTGCATAAAGACACCCCGCACCAAGTTCGTGAACGTCTTGATAGGCTTGAGCATGCGATGAAGGCTGGCGAGTCCGTACCCCAGTATGTCCAGCGTTTTCGCCGTATCACGTGCAATGACCCTCAAATAGGCCAAGTCGACCTCAATCACTGGTTCCTTAAAGGGCTACCCACGCAATTGCACAGCATGTGTGCCACTGATTCGCTTGGCCTCAAATGGTCCGACCTTGACTCCCTCATTGAGTACACAAAAGGTCAGCAATGGCGCTTAAACACGTGCAAAGTGGCGACCCTGAATTTCTCCCTGGGACGTGTGCCCCCACCCCGTCCAAGCAGGGCCCGGGCCGTGGAAACCACGGTCGGGGTGGCGGTCGCACTGGTGGTCGTGGTGGCGGCCGCAACAGCGGTCGCAGCTGAGGACTTGCCCTGTGCGAACAAGCAAAGGAAGCCCTCAGGAAGGCCGGCCTGTGTACCCACTGCGGACAGCCGTGGGGCAAAGGCCATCACTGCCACAAGAAGCCCCGCCGTGATGATGACACTGGCGCTGGCGGATCTAACGGACAGCAGACTGCCTAGGGAGTTGCCCATGTTTGCGCCCCAGCAGGCGGCGCCCATGGGTCTTGCAAGGCCAAGCCCCCACCACCCCCAAGCCCTGTGATCCCGGCGAACGCTGCAGTACTTAGCTCGGTTTTCCTGCGCCTTCAAAAGGCCTCCGGTCGGGTATTCATGTTCGACGCGACGTGTAACGGTGGTTCGGATGCGCTGTGCCCTAAGTTTGCCTGCTCATCTTCTCCTATCATTTCGCATGATGTTTCCGGTCAGCATGTTTGGTGCCAACCCCCACCCAAGTGCGTTAACGAATAGCTTGACCACTACAGCGCCTGCAAGCAGCGCTCACTGGAAATTACTAGCGCAGTTTTTGTCGTGCCGAAGTGCATTCAGTTCGAGCAAACGTTTCAAAAACGCGGCTGGACATTACTCAAAGAGTTTCCTACGGATGCGCACATTTTCTCTGTGCCTAAGTCCGGCGGTGGTCGCACTAGGTTGCACTCTAACACTCTTGCCACCCAGGCGTGGCTTGACCCTTGCCAGCAAACAGCAAAATGCTCGGCTCTCCAGCCCCTCGCCGACGGCACTGCACTTTTGCTCAAATGCAAACTGTCGGATACAACAGCAGTAGCCCTTGTCGATTCCGGTGCATCGCAAGTGCTCATCGCCGAGCCTCTTGTGCGTGCAATCGGGATTCCCATCCAACACAGCCACGTATCAACATGCGTGCTGGGCGACGGCGCAAATCGCGTCACAATCCTCGGGCAGGTCCATGTCCCGATGCGCATCCAAGGATTCCGCTGCGACCTGATTGCACACGTCATGCCGAAGCTAGCACAAGGTATAGACGTAATCCTAGGTAGCCGCTGGCTCATCCGCCGCAACCCGAAGGTGTCGCAGTCATGAACTGGGTCACCTCGGTCACGCGCTTGCAAACGCGCCGGTCCTTCACCTGCCTGATTTCTCCAAACCCGTCGAGGTCATTACAGATGCAAGCATCTACGGCACTGGTGGTGTACTCATGCAAGACGACCACCCAGTCGCATACACGAGTCGAAAATTCACGGCTCCCGAAATCAACTACACAACCACGGAGCAAGAACTCCTAGGTACGATAAACGCTCTACAAGAGTGGCGTCCGTATTTCGAAACGGCGCAAGAACCTTCAAGCTGGTCACCGACCACCACCCAAACATCTGGTTTGAAACAAAGAAAGACCTCTCCCGGCGCCAAGCTCGCTGGCAAGAATTCCTCAGCCGATTCCACTACACGTGGGAATACAGGCCCGGTCGCAAGAACGTCGCTGATCCCCTGTCGTGCATTCACGCGCCAGAACAGGCGGTCGCAGCCATGATGTACCTTGGCATGCCTACCGACGACAGCCCTCAGGGCCCAAACTTGGCCGACCGCCTGCAGGCAGTAATGCCTGCTGAACCAGACCCTGAGTGGGGCACGGTTTCGTTCGCTGACGGAATTTGGTTCAAGGGCAACAGAATCATTGTGCCCAATGACCCCAAGCTGCGTGCAGACATTCTGCATGCATATCATGACACATGCTTGGCAGGCCATCGCAGTGTTGCACGCACGCTCTTCACCATTAACAAATGTTTCTGGTGGCCAGGCATGTACAGTGCTGTACAGCGTTATGTACATGAGTGCCCGCAATGCCAGCGCAACAAAGCTGACAACCGCAAGCCAGCCGGAGAGCTGAAACCCCTGCCCATCCCTACGCGGCCCTGGGAGGTGGTGTCCTGCGATTTTATCATGTCGCTTCCGCCCACCAAGGATGGCCACACAGCCATTTGCGTCTTCGTCGACAAGTTGACGAAATTCGTCACGTTCGTGCCGACACACGACCAAATCACTACGATTTAGTTCGCAAAAACATTGCGTGGACGAATCATCTGCAAACCGGCTGTGTCGACTTCCTACTGTCTGATCGCGACCCGCGGTTCACTGTGCAAGCAATGCGCAACACAGCCCAGCAACTGCACTTCAAACAGCTGCTTTCCACGTCGTTCCACCCTCAAGCGGATGGACAAACTGAACGCGTGAATCGCGTCCTGCAAGAGGTGCTACGCAATTACGTAGGGCCGGAACTCACTGACTGGGCTGAACACCTACGCACGGCGGAATTCGCCATCAAATGTGAAGCCACGGGCTACACGCCCTTCTACCTTATGTACGGCCGGCATCCACGAATGCCGGACGACTATGGGCTTCCACTCAAAACGAAACACCCTGCAGTCGACGAACTTGCAGACACCCTACATACACGCCTTGAAAAGGCCAAAAAGGCCCTGCACGCCGCTCAGCAATGACAGGCTCAGCATGCCAACAAGCATCGCCGACCAGCCCACTTCCAAGTCGGGCAATACGTCCTGCTAAACTCCAAGAACATAATGTTCAAGGCACCTAATGCCAAAGGACACGGCAAGTTCATGCCATGGTTCATTGGACCCTTTCCCATCCTAAGCATGGTGGGTGAGTCTGCAGTCCGCCTGCAGCTTCCGGAGGCATTGCGCATGCACAATGTCTTCTACGTGTCCCTGCTGCGACAGTTTAAACAAAGCAGCAACGCACCACCTCCACCGGTGGTCCCCGCAGTGGAAGGCGACCCTATGTGGTTCGTGAAGAAATTCACGCACACCGTGGAGCGGCTCTGGCCGTCACCACCTCGTCGAGATCTTGGTCCGCTGGCAAAACCACGGCCCCGAGTACGACTCCTGGGAGACGGCCCAAGACTGCCGTCGAGGCTGCCCCAAAGCGGTCGAAGCCTATCACGCCAAGTTGTACGCCAAGGGTGTACCCTTGCCCTAAGAGGCCCCTTCCCAACCTACACTGGCACCCCGAGGACGGGTTCTCATTCAAGAGGGGGGGAATGTAAGGACGTTAGGCCCATTGGCCGCTCGTCCAAATCGAGTATTCTTTAACTAACGCCAAAGGCGTTTCTTGTACGATAGGGCCTTATGGCACTAGCGTCCAACTCAGTTAAAATACTGATCTTACCTAAAAACGGTATTCTTCTTTTGCTCGGCCACTACTGATCATCTGCACTTTGCAATTTACCACGATTCCTTTCCCTCCTCTCCCTCCTCTCCCTCCTCTCCCTCCTCTCCCTCCTCTCCCTCCTCTCCCTCCTCTCCCTCCTCTCCCTCCTCTCCCTCCTCTCCCTCCTCTCCCTCCTCTCCCTCCTCTCCCTCCTCTCCCTCCTCTCCCTCCTCTCCCTCCTCTCCCTCCTCTCCCTCCTCTCCCTCCTCTCCCTCCTCTCCCTCCTCTCCCTCCTCTCCCTCCTCTCCCTCCTCTCCCTCCTCTCCCTCCTCTCCCTCCTCTCCCTCCTCTCCCTCCTCTCCCTCCTCTCCCTCCTCTCCCTCCTCTCCCTCCTCTCCCTCCTCTCCCTCCTCTCCCTCCTCTCCCTCCTCTCCCTCCTCTCCCTCCTCTCGCTCCTCTCCCTCCTCTCCCTCCTCTCCCTCCTCTCCCTCCTCTCCCTCCTCTTCCCTTTCCCTCCTCTTATTCCTCTTCCTCCTCTACCAATTACTCCTCTCCCTCATCTTACTGTGATACATTGTTCATTAATCTTTAAGATGCACAGCCCAGTTTAATTGCTCAATTGAGTTGCAACTCATTACACATATCTTCCTGCAGTTCTCGAATACAAAGTTCATTATTTCTAGTTATTTTAAATAATTTCTTCTATTTGCTTGGCGCTCCACTTTGCCAGTTTTCAGGGTGTCACATCCCATATATCTGGTCGATTTGCGTCATAGGTACTTTTGTAACCGCCTTATGTTCGGCCACCTCTTCAAGCTGCACATCTTCCGGACATCTGCGCTTTGCATGTCAGCATGTGTTCTCTATTACACAATAATACCGCACCAAGGCCAGGAACGCAGCGCCTCGTTTTATGACTTTCCAGCCAGTCCCATATGGGGCAGGAAGTGGCAGGAGCCCCACACGCCTTGTTACCGTACAAGCATGTACGGATTTGAAACCAACAAACACACGAGAGATATTTGTAAGTGCTCCCCTTGTTTCGTAAAGTTCCTTCAACTCCCGCGATTCTGAATGCGTGCCTGAGAGTTTGGGGACAGACCCTGCAATTGGTCTAAATTGCTCGGTAGAAGGGTTTAAATTGGCACCTGGGACAAGTTGAATTGCCGGGACAGGCCCTTGAATTGGCCTGACAGGGATATGAATTGGCCTGGCAGGGACATTCCGACAGTCAGAATTAGCCTGACAGGGATACGAATTAGCCTGGCGGTACATTCCGACAGTCAGAATTAGGCTGACAGGGTGTCGAATTGGTCTGGCAGGGACATTCGGACAGTCAGAATTAGCATGTTCAGGGTGTCGAATTAGGGAAGCACAGGAATTGTGCGACCGGGGCAGCCAAAAGAATTGCTCTGCCCGACAGTGTGTCCTACCCTCTATCCAGCCGGATTGCGCAAAGAGTACTCTTTACTAGTAATTGTGTCTCAGTCCGGGCATGCTCGTCCATTTCATCCAACATGCCCACCTTTTAGGTGGGCAAGCCAAATCAAGCAATTACGGCCACAGCCGCCCAGGTTGAACAAGGCAGTATCAAGCATGTCACCAGAATAAATAACGAAAGCCTACCCTTATGTAACAGTCAAGCTTTGGGAGTAGCGGTAGCCGCGGGTGCTGGGATAAGGGAGTCGAGAAAGCGGTTAGGATCCACGCACTTTGCACGCGTTAGCTTCTGCAAGCGCAATGAGAGATGCGCCTAGCGGTAAAGTAGCGTAAGTGACAAAAACCATTTCAACACCCCTTAAGAGCCGCAGCAATGGCTTCAACACGATCGATCGAGTCAGGTCAGCTGTTCTGCTTACCAAGCAACAACAGCTTTTCATATTCATATTAAAATTCAGGGTATGCGTTTTAATTTCCGCAACAGGGCCGGCTACACATGCGTCCTCTGGTGATATGGCTGGGGGATCAACGCACCGAAGTCTGACGCAATGGACAATGATTGCCGAAAAGGCTGGCGTGAAAAATACAAAAAAGCGCCTGAAAGCCTTTTGGACCACCCTGACTGTTGTTTCTACCCTCATTGCCGGTACGTCGTCGGAGGCCCGCCCATGCGTTGCCTTGGATTTCACAATTTGATACGCATCTAAATTTATCATTAAATTAAACATAGAAGCTTAACTTGCCTGAGGTCGGGCCATGCACCACCACGTTTGTTGTGTCTGTTCACGGATGACCGGCCCTAGGGCCTATTTTGACCACAGGCCGCGTCATAGAACTACAAGAATACGGCCCGCCTACAGGCCCGAATGAACTGCAATTTCACAATATAATATTAGAATTATAAATCTTCCAAAATCATGCTAACAGATTACCAGAATACTACACCATCAAGGAAATCGCCTCCTGCTAGTAAGTGGCAATAAAATGCAAATAGGGCCGGTCATCCGTGAACTGCAAAATTTTGCGCATGGGCATCCTCGCTCTGCAGCTTCTGGGCATACGTGATTGGAGAAGCGCATCGCGCATTTGATGTTTGCGTTTGCCATCACCCGCATCACGACTAAGGAAAAGTGTAGTAAGCCGCAGCCGCGTCCCTCGCCCCGCGTCCTCCCTCCATCCCTTTTGCCCTTACTCGTCTCGGGCGTCCCAGCCTTGACTTATCCGGCGGTATCAGCTCCGTCTGTCAACAAGCGCAACAGTAGATATGGCCCCGGCACCATCGATGATCCCTTATTCACGTCGTACGGTGAGCCACCGTCTTCATCGGACAAGCTATTGGCAACGTACCCTGGTCTAAAAGTGTGTATCTCCTGCTCTCTCTCCGTCTCTATCTTTATGATGCGCTGATGACATGCAGTTCTCCTCAACACTAGCAGCCTAATTCTGTCCTTCATGGTAGTCATCATCGCCGTCGTACTGCTCGCGGAAGTGGATCTTGTCGTAACAGTAAGTACGGTAGTACGACACGGATACGACATGACTAGGATACAGGGACTGACCACTCCGAAACCTTCTCCATAATCCGTCCGACAGGAAGAAGACTTAGAGGCCTTCATCTCCCGCTACCAGTACTTGTTTTTGGGCCTTACAGGCATATTCGGCCTCTCCATCTTGTGTATCATCGCCTCCATCATCGTCATCGGCTTTTTTAATTACAATAATGCAACCGCCATTGCCTCCGCCGTCATCTGCATCACCGGCACGGTGATTGTGGCCATCGTGTCCGCGTGGGTGAGTGAGGTATCCTGTTCAGGCGTCGCCAGGCGTGTGCCCTGTTTGGGATCCGTAGGTCCCGTAGGATCGTACATATGCGGCAGGAGGATAGCAGGACGAGAGACAACGGCATGTTGCTACTAGATCGCATTGCTTTTACCCTCATCTAAGACGTGGGTCCTATTAAACCACAAGCACTTACTTTGTTTTCTTGCTTTTCGGGGTTGGGAAAATGCCTCTGTCTAGCCAGTGTTTTCCGCTATTGGCATCCAGCTGCCTTCCCTGTCCCCAACCCACGCTACAAATTTTGTAGGTACTGTTACTATACTAGAAAATAGTGCTGTACTAGAATAGTACTAGGAATAATACTATATACTATGCGGGGCTTGACAGTGGCAATAGTTTACGACGTTCGTCCCGTGTCCATAAACTAGCGTAGTAAAAATAGTACTATGTATTACTAGATGTGAGCTTGGATAGTGTCAAGTATTAGTTGGACCAAGTAGAGATCTACGGTAAGCTGTAGTTTGAAGGGCCATACTCGCGTCTAGGAGCCTCAATGCATGGTTTGTGATGAATATTGTCGAGGGATTCTAGTATAAAAAATGGCAAGGCCCTAAGAGGCTTGCAGCCTGGTGCCGACGGTTCCCCTGACGTCCACCGCGCCCGGCACGAGATGTTTAAGAAGCTAAAGAACGCAGAAGAATAACTCTAGGGCGGGTGGTCTCTGGGACAATTTCGATGTGGTATGGTGGGTTGGTTTGCCAAAGCTAGTCTGCTTGCACTGCGATGAGCAGCGCAGCGCCGTGAACCCGTCGTTCACCAACACGCACCACATCAAGCACGGTGGCTGTACGACCTGCTGAAACGGCGCTACGACAAGCAGGTCAATGCCTGCTGGTATGCAGTGTTCATGCTGAACCTGCGCAACATTGACGTGTCACTCACCAACCGGTACATGTTACCACTCGGCCAGCTGGAGCTGGAGGACAAGTCGGCAGCGAAGGTCCTAATCCAGGATCTGGCCGCCGGCAAAGATGCAGCTCAGCGGGACCGGGTTGGGGAGGAGTGGACACGCCTGGGACTGGGCATTCCCAAAGTGTTCGACGAATGGTCGGAGCTTATGTGTGTGCGCAAGGAGAAATTGTTGCCTGATGGCAGCATCCGTGCGATGGGGGCGTCACTGGATGACTGTATCAGCTACTGGGAAGTGCACCTCGCCTCACAATTCCCGCGGATTGCATCTGCAGCCATTCACTTGCTGCTGATGCACACATCAACCTGCTCGTCCTAGTGCAACTGATCCACATGGGGCCTGGTTTACACAAAAGCACGCAATCGGCTGGCCATTGAGCGGGCGGAGAAGATTGTTTACATCCATGGCAACGCGGGTTTGCAGGGCAACCACAGTGCAGTGGCGGATGAGATTGAGCTGATTCTCCAGCAGTGCGAAGAGGACGAGGAGGAGCAGGACGCACAGCAGCAGCAGCAGCAGCAGGGCACCCAGGGGAACACGCAGCTGCCATTGCAGACCCTGAGGGTGTGCCGTACATCCTTGAAACGCAGAATGAGGATTGAGAGATGCCGGATTGAGCTGTGTTTATGCCTTACGGGGGTTTGTAGTGCAGGGACTTTAATGGTGTGATGTGTTTTCCTGTGATCACTGGGTCTTCTGTTGGTAATTATGTGCCAAAATCTCTGTCTGGAGGACTGCAGCGATCCACTATCCTATGCCTAAGTAGATTTTTATAAAGAACAAAAGAAGACCTTTCCAACGTATAATTTTCAGTTACAACGGTTGGCCATACACCCCCCTTCTACTGGGAGCGTGCACCTCCTTAGTAATAGTATCAATAGTACTACATTACTAGAAATAGTACAATTTCTTACTATACTATGCTATTTGGGTTTTCAAATATAGTTTTGCCAACGCTACTACAAACTAACACAACCGACGAACGAACTAACTACCTGCACTTCCAGCTGGCTTTGTGGACACGTGGGCGGCTCAACAAGCGCGTAGCGGAGGACAAGCTGGAGCGGTCCAGAACCCATCAGCCGCCGCCACCGCCGCCACCGCCACCGCCGCCACCACCACTACCACTACCACCCCCCGTCGCCACCGGCACCGCTGTCGCTGCCATAATCGCTGGGGCGGGTGGTACCACACGTCCTGCCAGTAGCTCTATGGTGGCGGTTGTGGACGAGGATAACCCATCAGCCCACAGCCCCGCAATTTTTTGAGGCACGCGGGGTTAGGGGAGGAGCGCCTTGGGGCTGTGGGCTTGTAGGGTGAGTGAGTGCGGGGAAGGGAAAGGGGAAAGGGGAGGGTGTCGTACCGTCGGATGGGGAAGGAGGAAGGGGAAGGAGGAAGTCTCATATCGAGTTGATGCCCTGCATATCGCGGCAGAATCAGTCCATGCTATGTAAAATCTTTTGTCAGCTTTGCGCAGTGCAGTGGTGCAGATGACACCATTGGAAGGTCTGAAGCTTAACACGATGTACACTGACGATGTTCAAGGTTTCTGGTCAAGTGAGTACCTGTCGCGTGAGCAGTCGATTGTTCGTTAGTTGGTTGGGCGGGGGTTGTGCATGCGAGTGTACAGTCCGTGTGAGGTGGTGGCTACGTGACTGTCTGTCCTGTTGGATGAAGAAGGGGAGGAAGGGGGGGCTGGGGGGTCTGGGCCGCTGAATGAAAATGAAGAATGGAAGTTGGGAAGGCAGCGGTGGAGGGGGAGGAGGAAGAGGAGGAGGGAACGGAAGAGCTGCTGGAGGGAGACTGTTCGCACGCATAATAAAGGAGCTGAAGATGAAAGCCGGGAAGGCAAGCAGAGATTGTACAAGCGCTGAACCACCTTCACTTCACTACCCCTTCGCAACATACGCTTATTCCTCTCCCGATTCAGCTAGCAGTAGGATGACAATGATGATGATAATGACGAGGGGACGCGTGGTGACGGCCCTCGTTTTGGGAATTTCCCCCACACCTCCTTGAGATGCGAGAAGACCAAGAGGAAGAATTGGTGTTGATCGGTCGCAATTGCGGTTGCAGACTCGGCACCCCACAATTTCAAATGTTGCACATCACATGTCGTATGGAAGAACCGCATTCCGGTGGCCCTCTCGAAGCTTCCCCCTCGGTATTGCCTAAGAAGGCATCATCATCAGGCCACATCACATTGGGCCGCCCCGCAGGAGCAAAAGGTGGGGGAAGAGAAGGGAAGTGGCACTGGCATGTTAGGTGCCAGAGGAAATGCTGGAGGTTCCGGCGGCATCTCAGAATCCGCTTTAGTGCGGCAAAATATTTCAGGGGACATGGAAAAACGTTAAAGATGTTAAGAGATGTCAATGTATGGGCGGGATGTCACGCCAAGACATCTGAAGTGTACAAGTTATGTGCGACGACCGACTTAGTCGCTATCCGCAGGTGGTACTGAAGTCGCGTGTTGATTCAGTTGAGACTTAGGGCACTACTTGACTAGCGCATAAGGCGCTTTCCGTTGTGGTTTGAGGATGTTCAGTAGTTGTTCATCTGTCGTTAGTCGTCCATCCAGGATAGGGCCTCGTGCGATAAGGCCCGGCGCGGATCAGTCGATCCCTCGCCATAGGTGTGAGTGCAAAGAGGCCAACCGCTTGTCGTTTGGCTCTCGAAGCAACGCTTCATGAGCATATTGACCAACAATAATACAAATAATAGCATCGTAGGTGGGCAGCCAAGCCCAATTTATGTAACACGCCTGCGATCGTACTCTACCTCGTGACGCACATTCGCCATCAGAGCAGAATTATCAGAGGACCTATACGGCATTTCTCAAGGTCCGCCCTTAGCGCTGTTACCGTCGCAGTTGACAGGGATCAGTCCCCAGCCCGTCCTCGCCTGCCACGATCGCGCTCTATTCTCAAAAAACTCAGCTTGATTTCGCCGGTTGAGCCTGGCCAGAGCTTTTGAGGAAAGTTCTTATTTCGAAGTATATTTTCCCACAGCCAAACGACCGAGAAGGTCGACGAGTCGTCCAGAAGTAGGCGGCCGTAAGAAGTTAGGGATCTGATGCCAGTTCCCCGAGTGTGTTGAGTAGTTGTTGAAAGCGATCCGTCGCTGTATCTTCTCCAGGTGGTGTTGCCAATCTGTTGAGCTAGGCTTTCGCGTCCGCGCACTAAGGGGAGCTATGGTGAGGTCCCCGTGCACGTGAGAGTCATGGAACAAAACGAACGGCACAAGGCCTCACACGGGGAACGTAAACCCTCCCCGTCAAAATCACAACAATTTGCAATTTTGTTTGGTACTTTTTCAGCAGCTCCAAAACATTCTGATGCTGTAAAAGCTGCAAGCTTATTAGGTGTAATGATGAACGACGGTTCAAAACGTACTCCCCGAACCGTTCCTTCTCTGTAATCCATACCCCTGTGCTGTCCTCCAGTATAAAGAAATGTTATTCAAGTATACTGGGCCGTAGTTGTGCTGTCATGTATAGCGGTATCAACAATTACTTGCCCGTAGCCCAGAAGCCATCGAAAACAAAACCTGCCCTTAAGAAGACAGAAATAGTCACTAGGTAGCTCGGAAACACCTACTGGTTTCCCTGGAAAGGATAGGCCGTTTCCAAGGGAAAAGACCCTTTTCACGGAAACGCGCTTTCCGTACTTATATCGATTCCGAACTTCCCGTTCTTTCAGCTGAGCGGTCTTCTTACTTGTGTAAACTTTGAAAACATATCTAGGGTTCATTTCCCTTCGATATCTGTTAACAATGGCGATCCGCTTTATCGAGGAGCTGATTCATCTTACCCAAGGCATTCCAGAAATCCACAACTGGAGCCTAACAACCTTCTACTCAGTATTGGTCGCAATTATGTCCCTACTTGCATTCCTGAACCCGAAATCTTTGGCAAGAAAGCCAACTCGGACGGCCGCACCGCCGCACTTCCTGCCATAGAGAATGCAAGTAGGGACATAATTGCGACCAATACTGAGTAGAAGGTTGCTAGGCTCCAGTTGTGGATTTCTGGAATGCCTTGGGTAAGATGAATCACTCGCTTCCACTTTACGGGACACAGTAAATCCGACCAGGCTTGCAGGTAACTTGTGCACGAGTGTTACCCGAACTGACTGCTCATTAGCTGAAAAGGATGGTGATTTGGATTGCAGGGACAACTGCAACCCCTACAGCATCCACGCGCCTTTCTTGACGTGCGTGCTTAGCAAGACGCGCATCAGGGACATTGCTCAGGACGAGCGACCACAGGTCCTGAGTGCAGCAAGGCTGGCCCAGTCGATCGATCCCGAGGGTCACGTTGGCATCAAGTGCAAATTCGAGGTGGGATCTGCAGTGGGGTGTGGCCGCGGGTGGGTAGCTGCGGGAGGGAGCAGCGGGAAAGGCTGTGGGCTGTGCTGGGTGCACGCGGGGAACACGCGCGGGGGGAAGCGGGCGGGGGTTAAGCTGGCGGGGGGGAAGCGGGCGGGGGTTAAGCTGGCGGGAGGAAGCGGGCGGGGGTTCAGCTGGCCAGTGATGGGTGGGGCGTGTGGGAGTAGGAGGAGGGGGTGGGGGGGACAAGGAAGGGCGGGTTAGCCGTCCAGAGCAAGCTAACGCACGGCTGGGCAGCAAGGCGGTTGTCCCTTGGTTGTCCCCTGCGCAGTTCCAAGGGAAGGAAGTGAAGGGCCGGATGCTTTTCAAGTATGAGGGCGTGCAGGGTGCGGATGGGCAGCTGTGGTTGTACAAGCTCACAGACCTGTTCAACACCAAGGTTTGCGAGCAGACGTTCGCAATGATTGAGATGTTTGGCAACATGATGCGCACTATGGAGACCGGGAGGGCGGAGTTTTATTTCCAGGAAATGCTTACGGAGCACAACAACATGGTAACGGCTCGCTTAGAGAGGCTGGGGTTAATGCAGTCAGTTCCACCTGACCCATGGGTCGATCACTCGGTCGCTATCAGGGCGAAGAAGTCCGTACCCCTGCCCACGTTCCAGGCGTTGGGCACAGTGAAGCGCTGGTGGCAGCGTCGTTAAGAGGGTTCCATGGGGCTGTGCAGGGGGTTGCAGTGAGATCCAGGGGGGACACTTTTCATAATACTTTTATAGCTTCTGGTCTGTAACATCCAGCGATGGCAGACAATGAGTCGTCAGGAGGTAACCAAGGGCCTCCTAATCCACCGCCCTCCAAGATGCGCGAGAAAATAACGAAAATAACGATTTGGCGATAAGAAAGGTCGTCAAATTCACACCGCTGACCAACGGACAATAACAGCGGCAGCTAGCAGCTGTTCTGGTAAAGAGAGCTCGTATCAACCAGCAGCTGAGTCCGAGATCGCCCGGAAGATAATTCGACAAGACTAAACCCCACCGATCAAATAGCAGTTCAAAATAACAACCAACTAACTGCACCGTACGACGCCGCTCTGACGCCCCTCTTTAAACCAAATTTTCGGCTACGCCTAAAATAAGATTTTGAATCCGGGCTGAGCAGCTAGCCAGACCAAGAACCGGGACGAGAAACCCAAAACGCGTTCGTTACAGTAGGTTACTTTGGCCCCATGCCTAACCCAGCGAAACATCCCCCCTCACCCAGTCGCGTCACATTCGCTCCACCACCCAGGAGGATCACCTAGGCTCTGATACCAATTGAAAGGGAACCAGGCCGCTCCTAACAACTGGGAAGTGCAAGCTGACTTTACTGGCCGATATACTTGCGTAAGCACAGAAGATCGGGCTTTCAATTTCAACTTAGACTTACAATGTTCATGAAATGGTCCGCTTAAATAGTCATATTAGCGCGCCATAACCTCACACAGCCATACGACATGTCTCAGAAGCGCGCGCA